ATATATATATATATATATATATATATATATATATATATATATATATATATATATATATACAATCAAAGAATATGAACATAGGATACTCATTTCTGTCCTGATCGGGTTTTGAAAAAAAATGTCTTTACAAAACATCTCATGTGTGTGAGTGCGTTAGTCTGTTTTGAAAATCTGTTTTATTTTATGTCTGCCATAATATGTCATAACTTAGAGACGGTCAAAAGAATATAAAATATCAAAGCTTTGTATTTGTAATGGCTTCTCGTGTTATGTTTATTTTTATGTATTTTTGTATTTATATTATTAATTTTAAATACTTTTCCATTTTATACTATGCCATTCTTTAGTAAGTACTTTTTTTTTTAATAATTAAGAGAAGTAATTGCTTTATTTGTTTAGTACAAATCTATTAAAAGGAGCATATGAGTACCCCTATTAGACTATTTTAAAAAGGGGAAATAAGTCATGGAAGTTGTTTAAGCGTTTGACTATTTTTCACAATGGTTTAAAAACAAAGGGAAAAAGAATAATTATACAAGAGCATGGGATGGTGCCTATAGAATAAAGATAATCCAACCGCAGCTACAGTATTCTTTTAACAAAACAACCATCAAGTAAAAAATGAAAGAAAATTAAGTTTGTTAATTAAAAAACAAGTTAATTAAAAAGTTTAGTGACATTTAAGCGCAATTTCCTTATGTTATCTAAAAATAGCTCTGTCGTAGCGTAAATCAAGAGCAGGGTTAGTAAAACCATTGGTTAAAATACATGTTTTATTTACAATAGAGTTACATGACTAAAAACAATTGCGCGCCTAGCTACTGAACGTGATGACGCAGCCATTGAACGTGATGGCGCAGCGATTGAACGCAGAGGCGTAGCGACCCTTCCCGGGCGCCCGGGGACATACTTCCAATTTGGCGCCCCCTCGAGAGCAAATTTTCGATTTGCACCCACCCTCGAACTTTTCATTTGCACCCCCCCCCCTCAAAACTTTCGATTTGCACCCCCCCCCCCCCCCCCCTCGAACTTTTCATTTGCACCCCCCCCCCCCCTCAAACTTTCGATTTGCACCCCCCCCCCTCGAACTTTTCATTTGCACCCCCCCCCCTCAAAACTTTCAATTTGGCGCCCCCCCTAAGGTCGGCGCCCGGGGACATATGTCCCCCCCCGCCCCCCCCCCCTCGCTACGCTACTGATTGAACGTGATGACGCGTGTGGTGTGGTTGGATAAAAATGCCTACTAATTCGGTCCAAATTTTAATTAATTCAAATTTTTGTGTGTGACCGAACGAAAGGATATTTTTGAAAACTTTCTTCGGCAATATTGTTCTAATTATGGCAGGAATCGATTGGTACATGTTTCAAGTCGCTAAGTGGTCTGGTTGCCGAGATATGGGCAAAAAACTGCATTTTTTCGAGGTTTTTTGGCTTTTCCGGGAAATCCATGAAAGAAACCCGGAATTTTTATCCTCGTAACTTGCTTAACATAATTGCTTTTGGAACTAGTCCTCGATATTGCTTCGTTGAGGAGGAGATACGACTTAAAACTGCGGACACACATTCA